TTAACATTTTTAACTGAGTTGATCAGAGTTAACCATAGTTTGGAGATGTTAACATTTTTTAACTGAGTTGATCAGAGTTAACCATGGTTTGGAGATGTTAACATTTTTAACTGAGTTGATCAGAGTTAACCATGGTTTGGAGATGTTAACATATATTAAGTGAGTTAATCAGAGTTAACCATGGTTTGGAGATGTTAACATATATTAAGTGAGTTAATCAGAGTTAACCATGGTTTGGAGATGTTAACATATATTAAGTGAGTTAATCAGAGTTAACCATGGTTTGGAGATGTTAACATATATTAAGTGAGTTAATCAGAGTTAACCATGGTTTGGAGATGTTAACATATATTAAGTGAGTTAATCAGAGTTAACCATGGTTTGGAGATGTTAACATATATTAAGTGAGTTAATCAGAGTTAACCATGGTTTGGAGATGTTAACATATATTAAGTGAGTTAATCAGAGTTAACCATGGTTTGGAGATGTTAACATATATTAAGTGAGTTAATCAGAGTTAACCATGGTTTGGAGATGTTAACATATATTAAGTGAGTTAATCAGAGTTAACCATGGTTTGGAGATGTTAACATATATTAAGTGAGTTAATCAGAGTTAATGTTAACCATAGTTTGGAGATGACCTTGTGTTGGAACGATTTCATCGCTGGGCCAAATATTAGGCTGGTTGCTGAGCCACACCACCCCCACACCATCCCCACACCATCACCCCCCACACACCACCCACACTACCCTACATCAACCCCCACACCACCCCTACTCACTCCCCACCACCAGCACCCACACCCACAGCAACGCCATACTCACCCACTACCCCTCTCAAATCCCCCACCCCACACAAACCCCACACACACACCACCATATAACTCTCTTACAGCCCCATCCAGCGAGCGAGACTAGCACCTACTACACACACCCCCCCCACCTACACACACTCCACTACCCCTCCCCCTCAAATCCCCCACCCCACACACCCCCACACTCCACACACCCCCACACTCCACACACCCCCACACTCCACCACCCCCACATGACAACAACAATATCTCTTACAGCCCTATCAAGTGGGACCTGCACCTACTACATTACCCTGAATAAAACCGACACACTCTACTGCACCTGGGGATGTTGCAGCAAAGTTGTCTACCCTTGCTGTGGGATACCTGAGTAAGTCGTTTTTTCCTTCCAAGTCTTGTTAAGGCTAATTTCGACCGGAGTAAGTCGTTTTTTCCTTCCATCCAAGTCTTGTTAAGGCTAATTTCGACCGGAGTAGGTCGTTTTTTCCATCCAAGTCTTGTTAAGGCTAATTTCAACCGGAGTTGGTCGTTTTTTCCATCCAAGTCTTGTTAAGGCTAATTTCAACCGGAGTAGGTCGTTTTTTCCATCCAAGTCTTGTTAAGGCTAATTTCAACCGGAGTAGGTCGTTTTTTCCATCCAAGTCTTGTTAAGGCTAATTTCAACCGGAGTAGGTCGTTTTTTTTCCATCCAAGTCTTGTTAAGGCTAATTTCAACCGGAGTAGGTCGTTTTTTCCATCCAAGTCTTGTTAAGGCTAATTTCAACCGGAGTAGGTCGTTTTTTCCTTCCATCCGTCTTGCTTAGGTTATTATCGAAACTCGAAAATTCACATCGCTTTTTATCCACATAACGCCATTGGGGGGGGGGGGGGGGGGGGGGGGGGGCTTGACATTTTCACTTTTGGTAGCGCAGATGAAAGTGAGGTGGGGGGGGGGAGGCCGAAGTTAAAAGAGTTTAAGTATATATTTCCTATATAAATTATATATTTTTCTATTTTACCCAGGGTGGGGGGTGGCAGTGCTCCCCAGAGATATGCCTGAAGAAACTCTGATCTTTGTTTATGACTTTTATTTACTGTCTTTAAAAATGACTTTTAGACATTGCCATATACATGTAGTTACGGACGTTACGATTTTCCATATAGTTACTGATGTTTACAATCGGAATATTCTTACTGACTTGTAGATATTGATTTCACAATTGACATGTGGGTGTTTACCAATATGCCAATATGTTACTCACCATCTCAATATGTCATGTGTGTTTACTGAAACTGTCATTGTCACTCCATATCTCAATATGTCATGTGTGTTTACTGAAACTGTCATTGTCACCCAACCTCTCATATGTCATGTGTGTTTCCTGAAGTGACATTGTCACTCCACAACAAAGTCACACCAATGGCGGCCAACTAGTATTTGTTTTTTCTCTCTAGCTGGTTCAAATACACAGCAATCACCCTGGCTTCTATAGTTCTTGTGGTGCTGCTTGTTCCGCTGCTTGTTGTTCTAGCTAGACGTTTAAGGAGGTGAAGGATGACAAGTGGTCAAGCTACAGGTGCTCTGGGGGTGGTACCTACAGGTGAGTTCAATACTGGGGGGAGGTGAGTTAACAACGGTGGCGGGGTTAATCGTAGGGGTGTTAACGGTGTAAAGTAAAAAAGTAAAGTTTCCCTTTCAAACCTGACGGTTTATGGGGCAAGTGAAGTAGAGTTCACTTGTTTCTGTGACCTCGGCATATGAAGAGATAGTGTGGTCAGCACTATGCCCAGCCGCCTTTACTTTCCCTAACGTGAATTAGGTACCCATCAGAGTTGGGTGGACTCAGGGACGGTCTACTGACTTGAACCCGGATTCGAACTCGATAATAGCAGTCCAGCTCTCTACCGCTAGACCACTCCGTCCCATAACGTGTTAACGGTGAGGGAATGTTAAAAACGGTGGGTGAGCTATTAAATATCATCCTTTCTACCAGAACAGTTTTATGTTCTTTTGTTAACTAATTAAGATCGATGCTATAGATAGGTTAGGATGAGTGTAGCGAGAGTAACTGTAATATTGTTTGATATACCTTTTGCAACCATTTTCAATGTAACAAAATATAGTTGAGTATCAGTGAGGCAAAAATAGTTATGAGACACGTGTATGTGTGTACCATTGTGACAAATGCAGTTGTATTATGTAGCATGAATTACTGTACCATTGAACGTAAAAAAAAACTACAATATTTCAGACAAGGACACACAGTCCAGTTCTGGTGATGCTAAATTGGGCTACATTAATACAACTTCCGGTGTGTTAAACAGTGAATACACGAATACACCTTAACACCATTGGTTACAAGAAGACACCTTAAACATCATTGGTTACAAGAACACACCTTAACACCATTGGTTACACAAACATACCTCAATAGTTCAACACTTGTTCCTGAGATACATTTGTATATCATTATTAAAATATTAAATTTTATATTTTATGAAATATGTATGTCTATGTCATACCCAATAAATTAATCTATTTGCTATATTTTTGGATATTATTGTTTATGTCATAATTAATTAATATTAATGTACATCAATAGACATAGCACCTCATACGTAATGCAACTGAACATTTTTTTAAATAAATATATATATTTATTGTAAAAAAAAAACATCTGAATTTTTTTTAGTGATTTTGAAGCATGTATGAATAAATGAATGCTGATCTAAGTATTTAGGGATGAATAATACGTTTCTAGGCATATTAAATAATTTTCGATATAAACTTCTAAATTTTATTTTTAAACTTACTCTGCGATACAGTAGACTCGTGAAAATTAGTTCTAAATTACTCATTGGACGAAGAATAGACCAAGCCTTCTAGATGACGTATTAGAGTATTTCAGACATTTAATCACAAGAACGGGATTCCCCGTTGTCTAAAAATAACAAAAAAGAAATTCGAATATGGCTATGTTTTATCTGTGATATCTTCTCACTGATAGTGTGATAGGTCTGCTAATCTGATTGGTAGCGAAAACTCCGTGATTACGGTTCAGTGGTTCTCAAAAGATAAGCAAGTAGCACAGGCTACAGAATGAACCATAGCAGTCACTGACCAAAAGGATTGAGATTCTCTGTTTTGAGCAGCCGTGTCGGTGTGTAATCAAGGATGATAACGGCGTGTAATCGATACACGATCATTCATCGATTAGAAATCGTTACATCTAATCACTGTAGTGTTTTTAATGTTTGTTATGAACTTTACTTGGTTAGAGTTGGACCTATATTAACTGCTGTAGAAAATGGTTTCCCCATACCCCTCCCACCCCTGTTTCGTTTAATTGACTACCGTTTTAGTCGCTGATATATATATATATATATATATATATATATATATATATATATATATATATATATATATATATATATATATATATATATATATATATATATATATATATATATATATATATATATATTAACCACATTGGAGGCTATATTTAATCACATCCGATTTTTATATCTATAACAACCCCACTCCCCCCCCCTCCCCCATACACACATACACGTACACCCTTGTAAAGAAAGCTTCCATATATCTGACTACACGTGCAGCATGAGAAGTAGAGTCATCTTGTATCTTTGACATGTGAAGTGATTATTTGGTCCTTGCCCCAGCTTTCCCCAACTCAGGCCGGGTATTCGTAGGAGCTGGGTGGACTCAGGAACGCTGGGACTTTAGGGCCACTGACATCCTTGCATAGTCCATAAGGGTTTCTATACCTTCCCTAGCGCAAGTCAGATACTGTTAGAGCTGGTTGGACTCAAGGACGCTCTAGGGACTTGGACCCGGATTCAAACTCGAGACTTCCGGGCTAGCAATCGAGCGTTCTACCAGTCGACCATGCAGTAAAAATTAAAAAGAAACCTTAAAAACCAGGCAAATATTCCACCTATTCAGCAATGGTTTTGTTTCTAAAATATATTTTTTATATATTATATAATTATTATGTTTGGTTACAGTAGCACTAATTCATATTTTTAGATTGAATTAATTTATTTTTAAAATTAAGCATTAAAAGACCAGGTCGATTAATGACGTTTGCCTTAAGCCCAAATTTTCCAACTTTATCTGACCTATTTCGAAACCGGTGATAAGAATGCAAAAATAAAACTCAAATCTTATCAAGAACATCACTGTGTTGAAAGTTATGGCCCTTTAGTTGTGGATAAATGTACATTACTATTCAGATCTTTAGTCGGAAAAGTTTCATAGAGAATAGACAACACACAGAAGAGAATTAGTTTTTTAGTTTAGGGGCAGGATGAATCCTTTAATTTTCATTGGTTTATTTTTAGCTGTGTGTAAGTTGAAATGTTTTTTATTTTTTATATTTCTCTTTTCTTTTTCCCTTTCGTCTTATTTTAAAATAAATAACGGAGACCTAGATCTAGGTTCGAATTGATTATTCATAAGTCATTCAGCTTCTGTTGACAAACTTTAGTTTAGGGGTAACTCATGTAAGGATCTAGAAATTCTAGATCTATGTGTCTGTCGTGATTACGTAATAAAGTTGTTCTTAACCTGGGTTCGATCGAACCCCAGGGGTTCGGTGAGACAGCCTTATGGGTTCGGTGGAGGTTAAGACATGCACCCGACTCATTTGATTCACGATTGGGTTGTCAGTGCGGACCATAAAACTATATTAAGAGGCTTCGGTGAAGAGCTTATGAAAATGGTGGGGTTTGATACCTCCAAAAAGGCTAAGAATTACTTTATATATATATATATATATATATATATATATATATATATATATATATATATATATATATATATATATATATATATATATATATATATATATATATATTGCGCATTGTTGCTAATCCGAAAAGAATTTAGATTAGGCTAGTTAACTAGGGACAGCAACCCATCCAGAATAGAATTACCGAAATTACACTTGAGCGGAGTTTCCTTCGCCGATTCCTGCGATACATTTGATGCTAAATTGTTTCGGTAAAGTCTTGTCCAGTGTTTCTTCCAGACTTTTTTCTCCGGGGGGGCACTTGAAATCTTCGGGGGGGGGGGCGGTAAACTTTCTTCGGGGGGGCGGACACTGTTAAAAGTATATATTTTCTATATAAATTATATAAATTTCATTTCGTTCGGGGGGGCGGTAAAAATTTTTCGGGGGGGCTTCGCCCCCCCAAAGAGATGCCTGGAAGAAACTCTAGTCTTGTCCCCTGGGTCTATCAGCTGTTGGGAGAGAGGGGCAGCAACTGGTTCTTCTCATCTTGCAAGGCGCAGCCACCCAGTCTATGGAGACTTAGGCGGGGGAGGTGGAGGGTAAATACATATAAGGGTTGTATTTATAACCTGTAAGGGGATCGTTATCGTTCTTTTATGAATACCTGTACGATTTCTCCAGTGTAAAATACAATAACTGACACAGGGTTCAAAGTTCAAGAATATTTTTTTTAATTTGCTATATACACAACTATCTACTTGCTCCTAATCTTAATTCTACTGTCCGCTACTATCCCACACTACTCCTATCTAACTATCCGACTATAACTTCCTACTTAACTATCTACTCATCAACTGTAAGCTAGCTAATCCACTTTCTGTAATTTACTTGTATCCAAAACTCGACTCACTCTCAAACTGTCCGTGACTTGCAACCGATCAGCTCACTTGTCATTGGTTCCTACCTTAACCTATTTCAACAACTTGACCAATCAGATTTCACATTCCTCCTTTCATTAACCTATTTATAAATTTGCCTAAACGTGCGTCAACACAAACGCATTTTTTTTTTTTGCATATACGGTGATCGAGGTTGTCACTTCCTTTGTGTATACAGTAAAAAATACTGACCGTCTCATGTTTACCATCATGCAAGGCTTTCTATAATAAACCGGGAGGGATCTCCTCTAAACTTTCTCGAATATTCTTATATATATAAAAAAAGGGGATAAGAACTCGGGCTAAAGACATGATTTTTAATCCATTTTAATTCTTAGTTTTTAAAATAGAATAAAATCTCGAAGAAAAAAGAATTGCACACCAAGTGAACGCCAAATAAAATGTGCATTATAGTGCGCAATATTATTAGTACTTTATAAATTTACATTAGTTTTTTGAGAAATCGGAAACAGCGTAAATTACTACTTCCGGTCAACGGAAATTACTCAAAATTTGATAGAAGGTAAAGAATTATATCTTTTACTTACATGTGAAATTTCATTTATCTATCTGAAATAGTAATCAAGTTATAGGCTTTTGAAAAATTCAAAGTAGAATAAGTACAACTTCCGGTTATCGGAAATCGCTCAAAAGTTGATACGGATCTACGATTTTGATAAAATACTTCTATATGAAATTTCCTCAACCTAGCTATAACGGTACTCAAGTTATCTTGTTTACACACACACACACACATACATACATACATACATACATACATACATACATACAGACATACATACATACATACATACATACATACATACATACATACATACATACATACATACATATATACATACATACATACATACATACATACAGACATACGGACAAGATTGCAAAATTATGTTTTTCCGACTCAGGGAGGTGTAACACGTCGAGATTTGCAAAAATCTCGATTTTTTTTTTTTTTTTTTTTTTTTGCACGATTACAAGACTTTCTCTATTCTTCGTTTATACGAGGAAGTAAAAACAATACGTTTTCTTCTGCAGCTGTATCTGGTGAGTACTGCACCTACCACCCCACCTTCAGCACGAGTATCACTGAGTACTGCTACTGGGGCTGTTGTTATTCATACATCTACCCGTGCTGTGACACGCCTTAGTAAGTTGTTTTGTTGTTTGTTTTATTTCATCATTAAAAAGTTATTCACATGCAGGGGCGGAGCTACCTAAGCGCCAGATCCTGTGTTGCGGGGGAGGCCCAAGCCGTCTAGAGGCCCAAATTCGACTAAAAAAATGTATTTAATTTTTGTATTTTTTTTTCTTTTGTATAAGTTATTCGTATGAACAAATTTTATGAAGAAAAAAATGTATGAAAAAATAAACTAGGTTTCCTCACCGTTCCGTTATTTTAAATGTGTGATTGTTGTGACGCTACAGTTAGGGTTTAGAGTTTAAGATTCTTACATTGTTTCCCTCAGCTATGCCGACACGCCCTTTATAGCCGGCATGACGGTGGGCGCCGTATGTCTATTGGTGGGGATAATCGGAGCATGCGTCAGGAGCCGGAGACGTGTTCAGACGACCGTTCAGTACACGGCACCTGGCAACCAGCAAGTCTTCTCAACCAGTAAGTTGAGTGCCACAATAGTCCCCCAGCAGGACCACGACACTCCCTCAGCAGCGCCCCAACAGTCCCCCAGCAGCACCCCAACAGTCCCCCTGCAGCGCCCCAACAGTCCCCCTGCAGCGCCCCAACAGTCCCCCTGCAGCGCCCTAACAGTCCCCCAGCAGCGCCCCAACAGTCCCCCAGCAGCGCCCCAACAGTCCCCCAGCAGCGCCCCAACAGTCCCCCAGCAGCGCCCCAACAGTCCTCCAGCAAGGCCCCACAATGTTTCTCATCAGCACCCCAATATTCCACCAACAGCATCCCCAATGTTCCCCAACTTCGCCCTAACTGTCCGATGAATACAACTAGCCGATCTCTAGAATTTTCACCAAGCAATGTAGTTCTGCATCCAGGTGCTTTAAAAATGTTTGTTAATACTGAATGATGTAGCGCCCCTAGAAACTATAGATGTAAAATATTCCACATTTAAGTTTTTTAAAAAATAATTATAATATTTATTTGAGTTACAACAACCTTGCTAGTATTACTTCAATCCTGACTAACACATTGACTGCATATTTTTAACGAAATTCCTTTTTTAAGTCTCAGTTTTTATTTTATCTTGCAATCCAGTCTGTTTGTTTATTTTTATGCATTGATACTAAAAAGCATTTGTTTGTATAACTTCTACGACAACAATTTGTTTTAAAATCTGGGTAAAGAATTTAAGGAACCAGATAAATTTTTCGAATTGTTGTTGAAATTGAAAAAAAATATATATATTTAATTTTTCAGCCATGGCATCGCAGGTGAATTCAGGTGTTGCTAACACAGGCTACGTGAACCCATCCGCTGTCAACACAGGCTACGGGAACACATCCGCTGTCAACACAGGCTACGGGAACACATCCGCTGTCAACACAGGCTACATGGGCCCACCCGCCTACAGCACAAACTACTCTACTGCTTTCTCCAACAGTGGCTACACCCACACAGCCTAACAGCCCCAGCATAAGAGCCTACACGCTCAATTCAAGACAACATATAAGAATGTACACAATCTTGTAAAGACAACATTTACCAGTTTTAAATACTAAAGAACAAAACGAATAAATAAAATATTACATAAATGTGACAAAACATTAAATACTCCGTAATTTTGTTTTCTTTTTTCTTTTATTTTTATTTTCTTTTTTATTCTAATTTTTTTTGTGTTTTGTATTTATTTATTTTTATTTTTTATTTTTTCATTTTTTTTTTTTAAATTTAATTTTTTTCTTTTTGAGCAAGTAAATGTTACTACAACATGCCTACTTCAATTTTTTTTTCGGTGTTTGCCTCTATGATTTTTTAAAAAATCAGAACATATAATTTTATATTTATTCTTTTATTTGGTGATATATCAAACATTCCCATATAACATCTGTATTATCTAGTAAACTGTAGAGGTAAGTAGGCAACTTGATAAGCGTCCATGTTTTTACTGAATTCAGCAAGTGTTATTTTTAAAAAATAACAAATAAAATGTAACATATAAACGCTTTTTGCATTTATTTATTTATTTTAATTATGCTTTATTTTCAAGTTTGAAACTTTGTTTTATTAATTTGATCTATTCCCCAATTTCTGCAAAGTCATGCTGGAACAAAACGAATATTTTACAAATTAACATTTTGTGAGCAGTAACGCTAGTAAATTATTTAATAACAATGGTATTGTAGTTCCTTAAAGATTTCTTTTTAAAAATTCGCATCTGCATTCCAAGAAAAGTAGCTGTTTGCATATATATATATATATATATATATATATATATATATATATATATATATATATATATATTATGTGTATGAAAAACGTAAGATGGGATAGGGTTGTAGGACCGAAATTTCCCATGTTTGTACACATAATAATTGTGAAGTAGTCCAAGTTCAAAACTTTATTTCGTGTCTTTTAGGCCTCATACGATTCAACTTGTATCTTAAATCAACAAAACTCTTCCTGGACCAGTTATTAAAACCCACATCTGTTGCACAGTGAACTTGGTATTTGCCCACCCCTGAACTGTTTTAAATGGGGCTCTTTTAGACTAGACCCACTGAACGTAGGAACCTACCAGTGGCGTAGCCAGGATCGTCTCAATGGGGGGTTCCAATTTTTACCCGGGGACAAACTTTCGATTTGCACCCCCCCCCACCCCCCTCAGACTTTTGATTTGCACCCCCCCCCCCTCTCAAACTTTCGATTTGCACCCCCCCTCAAACTTTATATATATACCGAGGGGTCTATGGGAGGGTATGACCCCCGCTAACCCCCCCCCCCTGCCTACGCCACTGGAACCTACACTCGCATTTTTGACAGCAATGACAAGTTATTTGTAAGGTTTTTTTATGATAAGCACAAAAATTGCTATAGATACTCGTTATACTTAAATCACACGACAAATTTAAATGATAGGGGTGGGCTTGTTTTAGAAGTAAAATACGTAAATGTGATGACAAAAATAACTATATTTAAAAGTAAAAAAGTAAAGATTCCTTTTTAGACCTAACGATTTGTTGGGCAGATGAAGTAGAGTTCGTGTTTCTTGGCCTCGACTTCTGAATGGATAAAGTGGTCATTACTATGCCAATCGCCTTTACATTCCCTAACATGAGTTGGATACCCTTCAGAGCTCGGTGGTCTCAGGGACGTTCAACTGACTTCAGCCCCGATTTGAACTCTAGATTTGGTTAGCAGTCTAGAGTTCTACCTCTAGACCACTCAGTCCCCATAACTGTATTTAGAAGCTAGGAAATAGCCATGGGTCAAGCATTTGAGAGCAGAAACAAGAAGTAATAACCTATCAAATATCGTGGCCAATCAGAAACTACAACACATCTAGTCTAGACTCCAACCCTGCCAATACGCTCCAACTCAACTGACCCCTACCAATACACTCCAGAACAACTAACCCCTACTAATACACTCCAACTAAACTGACCCCTACCAATACACTCCACCTCAACTGACCCCTACCAATAGCTCCCACTCAACTAACCCCTAGCAATATCTATCTCCACCTACTCGCTACACGTTCGAATGACCAACCGCCTTAACGCTTCACTGATCAGGTAAATGTGTGCTGAATAGTAAGAGAATTCAACAAACAAATAAAATAAGGATTCAACATTACAACACTATCAGGCTATAATGCACACAACCACGCCACGATGAAACTGAAACAAAACTTGCTCTGAAAATATTTCAAACAGAAGAGGAGCAGTACCAGACAGAGGCGTGAATTGTAAAAAGTACTAAAAAATATAAATTAATGCTAAGTTTATGCTGACATGGAAGGACATATATGTTGACATATAGATGAAGTCGAATGTAAATTGTTATTGCAACAGTTTCTGCAACTCCAACAGACAAATAATTGTGATTTTTTCATACATATTTGAAGTTCGATATGTCTTACCAACTGTCACCCCTCAATCCTTTAATGTGACATGGCTTCAAAATGTACACACAAACAATAATAGTGATCGGGGGTGGATTGGCCCGCCGGTCTACCGGAAAAAATTCCGGAAAAAATTCCGGTAGACCCCAAGAAAATTTTTTCGATGGGCTTTAGGAAAGGTGCAGTAATAATCCTATTCGTGTTTTGGCTTTTAAATAATAATTTGATTATTTCTCCATATTAAAATTTCCATTACTTCTTACCATTGCGTAAAATTCAGGTTTTGGTGGAGAAAAATAATGCACATAGAAAATTTTAATCTGGGGTTGCGGTCCTTTGAAAATGTCCCTGGCCTATTGGACACCACGAGTCCACCATTGTTAGAGATAGAACCCGGCTGGATGTGCTTTGTGTTTAACTTATCGTTCTTGGTACCACGTCTCCGCCCCTCCGGAGTTATTAAGTTGTACTTAAAAATGTATCTGTTCTAATTAGTTGCTAATTGTAATGAAAAAAAGCAGTGTCTTGACAGCATATTTTGCAGCTTTTCGCCTTGGTGTCGTTACAATTGGTGTCATTCTCACTTAATGGTGTCACCTCACTAAATGGAGTCACCCCCATTAAATGTCACCTCACAAAATGGTGTCATTGTACTAAATAGTGTTGCCTCACAAAATGGCGTCACCCTTCTTATGATGCCACTCCCACCACGTAATGTCACCCCAACCACTAAATGGTAACATCCGGTACGGCCCAAATCCCCCCCCCCCCCCGGGTGATGTGACGCAACTGGAAAAGCCAGCTTCTGTGTGTCTCCTGTATATATTGGAGGTACCAAAGACGTGTCTACCGCGGTTCCAAGCAAACAAAAATTGCAAACTTCCCTCTTCCGTCTGTTTACTAGTGTACATAATACGAGACAAGTAAACTTTATGTAGGATTTAGGCTAGATTTTTTTTTTCTTTTAATAAATTGTGGGAATTTTAGTTGAACGTTTGCATAAGATTTTTTTATGTTGTATCTAAAAATAGCATTTGAAAGGATGGAAAATGAGCATATATATTTGAGAGCTAACGCAACTAACCTTGATCGGGGTCTTAGTGCTTGTTGTGTAAGGATTTGGTTTGACAACATAATCACCCCGACAGTGTTACTGGTACTCTATCTTTATTGTTTTTCAATCAATTAAATTTATTAAATTAAACCAAAAAAATAACAAAAATATCATTTTCAAGATAAACACATAGTATTAACTTGTTTTAAATTGTAGACAATATAGTACAGCTTGTAGAAATTGGATTACATTGAATATACAAATGTGTAAATATGTTTGTGCTTGTCATCAAAAGCCAGCTTTAAAAAAAAACTCTTTTGAAATACTATCAGCTAAAATGATTTATTAGACTAAGTAAATTTCTTTTATTTTTCAATATGTGGTTGCGGCGGTCTTTAATTTTAGCATTAATATTTTTTAAAATATTAATCTTCAATAGTTGTTTTTTTAAAACCCGTTTTTCCTATCTTATTTTTTTAAATCACGCATTTATCTTTTTTTTCAGATCTGCAACAAAATGGCAGCGTTCAATGAAATGTGTTGGAACACTTTTCTCTTGATCATGTTCGCTGGGGTATCTACACGTACGTAGAAAACAACAAACGTTCTAGTAGAAACTATAAGACATTAAATCGTTGGAACATGAATGAGACGTGTTGACCACCGCGGGATGTAAAGTAAAATTCCCATATTGGACCTGGCGGCCCACGGGGCAGGTGAAGTAGAGTTTACCTGTTTCTGTGACCCCGGCCATTGAAGCCATAATGTGGTCAATGTGGATTATACAGTCAAATGCTTGATCTAGATCTTACAGTTGTTGTGACTATACGTCTCTTACATAATTTAATAACATGGTCTCTTACATCAAGCATAACACTCTCTTACATCAAGTATATAAATGCCTCTTAGATCGTGTATAACACTGTCTCTTACAGCTGTATATAGTAAGGTGTGTGAATACTACCCCAGGTACTACTTTACGGTCGAGACTGAGACTGAGGACTGCTACTGGGGCTGTTGCTACTCGTACAGTTACCCTTGCTGTAGTGAACCATAGTAAGTTCATAGGTCAACTTCGTAGGTCAACTTCATAGGTCAACTTATGCATTTTATTTTTACTTTTTCAGAAAAAAAAAGAAAACAAACACACACACACACACACACACATATATATATATATATATATATATATATATATATATATATATATATATATATATATATATATATATATATATATATATATATATATATCACAAAACATGACATCTCAAAGCGTCCTGTTATATAACATTTTCCATAAACCAACACCTCTGATATAGCTCTCTAACCCAATGATGAACCACCCTTTTCCACCTTCGTGTTATTCAATGCGTGCATGATCTCTTTCTCTTTATATTAGATTTTAATTTATATATTGTTGGGACACGGTGGTCGAGTGATAGAGTATAAGATAAAACAAAAGTCTCGAGTTCAATTCCTGGCCTCGATAACCTCTCATTCCCATAGTGGTATCCCATAGGACTGTGTTACTCCATAGGATAGTGCTATCCCATTAGACAGTCTTATCCCATAGGATAGTGCTATCCCATTAGACAGTCTTATCCCATAGGATAGTGCTATCTCATTAGACAGTGTTATCCCATAGAATAGTGTTATCCCATAGGATAGTGTTACTACATAGAGAAGTCAATATATATATATATATATATATATATATATATATATATATATATATATATATATATATATATATATATATATATATATATATATATATATATGTTAGTGCAAAATACACATATATTAACCTAATTTTTAAAAAAATAACCATTTTGAAATGGAATTTTTTTACAAATGTGTTTATTTTATTCACACAGTTATGCCGGCACTGGATTTAAAGTAGGCATTGCCGTGGCTTGTGTGGTGATAGCTGTCGTTGTCATTGGTGTGTTGATCAGGTACAGGGGGCGTGTCCTAGCCACCATCCGGCAGGTAGCACCAGCCATGGCCCAACAGGTGGCCCAGCAGGTAGCACAGCAGGTGGTCGAGCAGGTGGTGGTCTCAACAGGTAGGTAGAGAGAGAGATGACATTTGAAGAAATACGTTCATGACGTTTGAAATAACACATTGATGACATTTGAAGAAATACCTGGGTGACATTTCAGTGAATACATTCATAACATTTGAATACGATGATGACATTTGAAAATATGAATTGATGACATTTAAAGAAATACATGGGTGCTATTTAGAAGCATAAATTGATGACATTTGAATATATACATTGATGAAATTTAAAGAAATACATTGATAATTTATGAACTCGAAAGTCTCAAGAGGGGGGAGGGCACTGGACACAGTGCTGACCACACTATCTCTACCAGTGGCGGATTAAGGGGGGTGCTGAGGGGGCTGCAGCCAGGGGCCCCCGATTTTTAGGGGCCCCCAAATTTCCTTTTTCAATTATAGTTAATTTCCCTTTAAAGTGATATTTTGGGGTTTTTTGTTTTTTGTTTTACTATAAAAGCCAATGTTTTAATAATTGAATCACAAGTTTATTTCACTTTTTTTTAATCAAAATATTAAACTCGAGCACACATTTAGTATAAATACCTGCCCAGACAGGGTTTGCTTATAACAATAAATTTGGTTGATTTTAGAGTTAAAAACACAAACAGCGGTCGAATTCTGACACATAAATGACATGTATCTGGTGTAAATACTGTATGATTTAAACTTTTAAAAACATTTATAGGCCTTTACTTTTAGTGAACGTTAATATCGGGTTTACAGGCCAGGGATGACGTTCTTTAAATGGACGCCAGTGGAAATTCAACTTTTTGTGGGCCTCATAAATGGATGACACCTAAGAGCTTATACCGTCCTTACTGTTTTTAGTTGGGCCTAGTGTAACCTCTGTATGTTATTAATAATTTCCTACATAGAGTGGATTGAAATTCTCTTTTTTCTCTTCGCGTCTGCAAGCAAATACGTGCCAACAGTCTTTATCGTCTGATCTATAACGACATAATATTCTCATGGACATTTATATTTGTTCAATGTTAGTCTGCATTTCCAGCTTTCTCATGCCCAATATAAATTCTTGAATGACAGTTCAATAACTATCGTGACACGGATATACCGGCTCAGGAGTTTGACTCCCATTAGCCTCTCACCAGGCTTTACTTCCCCCCAACAACAGATGCGGGACATCGTCCTACCGTCTGGTACCCGGCTAGTTGATGGTCAGAGGTCTAAAACTTCTACAGGCCTAAAGTAAACAGTCATATATTTAGTACTACTGACGTAGCGGATGGATCTCGCCTCTCTGTGTTTTGTTAGTATATGTGTCGTGGTAGTGGGTGGGGGCAACATATAATCATGCTAAAAATGAGTACATATTGGTTAGATGTTAGGGGATCGGCGTGGTCGAGTAGGTAAAGCTCGTGGATGCTTAACCGAAATGTCTGGAGTTCAAACCATCGGGCAGATGAGGCTCGTTAGCTGGGGATAGCCACTCTTTTAGGAGAGACAACTCCAAAATCAAACATCTGCTGTAGTTTGTTCTTGGTTGGACAAAGGCTATGGAAACAAATTAAAAAAGAAAAGCGGGCTAAAATCGGAGTCAATGGTCTCAATGGCGCCTAACCAGTTGACACGTATACCTAATTGTGATGGAGGGGATCCCTTCCAACACAACAATTAAGAGCGAAGAAGAAGAGAAGAAGAAGAAGGTTTGTATCCAATTTACCGCTCATTGAACACAATTGACAGCTTTTTTTTAAATTAGCAGTTTTCTAAATATATAAGTTATAAATAATCCATTAATATCTTGAATCGTATGCTGATTAGGATATATATATATATATATATATATATATATATATATATATATATATATATATATATATATATATATATATATATATATATATATATATCAGGGGCCCTCACAATGTTTCAGCCCGGGGCTCCGCCCAAGCTTAATCCGCCCCAGATCTCTACATATACCGAGGTCACAGAAACAGGTGAAGCTTCATTTACCCCATTGACTGCCTGGCTCGAATGGGTCCCATATGCCAAATTGGGCGGTATAAATTGTAAAAATAAAAATAATAAATAAAGCGTAGCATGAAAATAAAAATGGTTTGAAAATAATTATTTTCAGATTAGCCCTGACGCTGCTAACGCTGGCAACATGCTTAAACTACAGCCCAAAATACGTATACGTTGGTTTGAAACAGAAGATAGATCTGTATAATAATTGTTTTATAAATACTCGAGAGGGGGAAAATGGAATAAAATGTTGGATTAAACTGTATTTTTTTTATTTTTTAAATGTTTGCTATTGTTGTATCTTACTTTACAGCTTATAAATAAATGAATTATGTATTGTTTTTATGCCAATGTAATATTTTTAAAAATTAAACCAAAAAATATTGTTGTCATTTTTTGTCTTATTGGTAAATATTTGAACAGTGTACGCTATACTTTAAATGTTTGCTATTGATGTGCTTTACTTGACAGTTTATAAATATATAAAATATTTGTTGTTTTCATACCATTGTCAATTTTAATTGATTTAATTATTACTTTCATGTGTATAATTTTATTTATAAATATCCGTACAATGTACGTTTCTAATCGAGATGAATATGAATGAAAGAACTGGTGAAGGACGCCCGTCGAATTTTTAAGGGTTTTTGCTAGTAATTTGTTCAAAGCTTTGAAAAATTAATAAAATCTGTAATTATAAATGCTTTTTGTACTGTTTTAAATTTATTTTTAAGTATTTTAAGACCAGCTTCGTCTTCTGCTTTCTGTGACTTTTTTTTATCCGAAGAAACTAACTTAATTTCATCTTTAGAGGAATACTGGGATATATCATTTCCATTTCGGTTATCGCTTTTGTGTGTTATATTTCTACGATAGCCGCTTAGCTTTTTTATGCTACCACAAAACTGTTGTTGATTATATGTAGTCATATGAATAAAGTGAATAATTAAAGAGTACCTCATTAGGCTATATTTAAATATTTTAAGATATATATATATATATATATATATATATATATATATAAATATATATATATATATATATATATATATATATATATATATATATATATATATATATATATATATATATATATATATATATATATATATATATAGCCTATACTTTTTTATTTGGTGGTGGGGGGGGGGGTGTGACACCATGAGGCTCCGCACCGGGTGACACCCGACCTAGCGACACCACTGACCACTAGAGCACATCGTTCGTACTTTTTAGAAATTCAGTCAAAGCCAGTACGTACAATAAGCCCGAGCAGAGACAGTTTAAGAAGAATCGTCATTATAATTTAAGGGGTAGGCTCAAGAATAAATAAAAAAACTTCTTACTTAATTATGTGTGTATCTAAGTTAAAGTACTTAAAGGAAAATGTGTCCATGCACCAAGGACTCCTCTGAAAGTATGGTTGCTATGGTTGAAAAATACAGCCTTTTGTGGAGGTCCCAATTAGTGTTTCTTACAGACTTTTTCCTTGGGGGTGGGGGGGGGGCGGCACTGATTATTTGGGGAGGGGGGCGGCCAACATTTTCGGGGGGGGGGGTAAAAATATGTTTTCTATTTTACTAACTCTAATAGAGTCCGCTGGCTCTAGAAATATTTTTTTTTCATATTTTCAAAATTTGGTATGGTGAAATTCCATTAAATAAATAACTCCTGATTAGATTGATCAATAGCGACCTTTCGCCTTTAAATTTAAAAAAATAACGTAGTCCTCCTTGCCTGGGCTTCTTCTTTATGACCATCATTTGACATATTTAAAAAAATATACTCTAGATCTATATCCGTTTATAAATTTACAAAGTTTGAAAATATTTTAGAAAAATAAATATTGTCAGGAAATATTTGCCAAAATAAAAAAAAATTAAAAATAATTTCATTCTTCGGTCTCTGAGCTCAAGGTAGTCCCCCTTTGTAAAGTGTGTAAAAGGGATTTTAATTATCTCCCCAGAGCAAGAGGTATTAAAGATGGCAGCTTTGATGATTGTTTACAAAATGATGTATTCGTTCATTTGTTAAGTAATGATGATTTCTGTCATTTTTATTGTATTCATTAAAAAGGCTGCAACTTAAGGAGCAGTGCCTAAGGTGTAATAGGTTGACCGCTATCATCACACCCGACTCCTGCATTCAAGCTTGTGTCATGGGAAAACTAGATCTCTAGATCTAGTCTAGATCTAGATTAGATCTAGAATTCTAGATCTAGAATTCTAGATCTAGATCTAGAATCTAGACTAGATCTAGATTCCTAGATCTAGATCTAGAAATCTAGATCTCTAGAATCTAGGTCTATATCTAGATTTCTAGACTAGATCTAGATCTAGCTAGAGATCTAGGAGATCTAGATTCTAGATCTAGACTTCTTCAGTCGGTAATCTATCGTTTTGGGTACGTAACATCGCCCGCGATTTGTAATGTGAAAAACAGGTGACTCCTTAAATTTTAATAATTATTTCACATTTTGAGGAGGATTTATGTATTAAAAAATTCAAAAATGTTTCCTTGATTCATTTATGTACCTGTTTTTAAACAATTGAATTAAAACTTTTCCGTAATAAATGAAGACTAGCGATGTTTCCAACAGATGCAACCATGCTCATTTACTATAGCAGCCATCTTGTCTAAGTTTAATTTTTATAAGCTTTTAGCGCCAGATTCAGGGGGAAGCCACTCTATTTTACAAATGGCTGCTGTTTATATAGCAAATCTTGCTCTCAGACACTGCTGTTTAAAGTTAATTTCTGGCCTATATCGATATATTTAGCCATTGATTTAGGTTTATTATTCATTTATCTATAATATTTGACACAAAAGTATGACAATATACTTCTATTAAAGCCTTGAAAATGAGGTAACGTTTTCGTACATAAATAGCCACGGGCGATTTTACGTACCCAAAACGATAGATTACCCTTCAGTCTTGTCTTAGAACTTCTCAGTTTCTCGCTTTAGTTAGTTTTTACTTTACTAGCCGAGACTAGTAATGTGAAAAAAAGGTGACTCATTAAATTTTAGTAATTATTTCACATTTTTAGGAGGATTTATGTTTTGAAAGTTACAAAAATGTTTCAAAGTTTCATTAATGTAGATGTTTTTATACAATTGTATTCGGCTAAAACTTTTCAGTAATAAATAAAGAAGCGATGTTTTCATCAGATGCAAACAAACACATTTACTTTAGCAGCCATCTTGTTTAAGTTTCTATTTGGTAAAATTATAGTTAGAGATTAAGGGGAAGCCACTCTATTTTACAGATGGACGCTGTTTATATAGCAAATCTTGCTAGCAAACACTGCTGTTTAAAGTTAATTTCTCATCTAAATTGATATGGCTGCGGCTATTCGTACTTAACTACAAATAGCCCTATGAAGGCTATTCGTACTCTGACCAATCAGCGTGAGGCATTTTTTCTGTGATTCTTGAATTCCCTTTTTCATCATTCACATGCAGTATAGATCTAGAACTAATTATTTTTTAGATTTCCCTAACCCTCACCATTTAAAAAAAAAAAGAAAAAAATAGAAATAAAAACTCTGAGCCTAAGGGAATTGAACCCACGCCTCGAAAACAAACTAGCAAATGCACAACCACTTCGACCACCAGAACAGTTACGATGAGACCCAAAATCTGAATGTCATACACAAACTAATAAAAATAATCATGCACGCATGCGCAGGACAATGAATTTAAAAATAAATTTGATTGGTCGGCTAAAAATAGCGAAGTACGAATAGCCTTCTAAGGGCTATTTGTAGTAAAGTACCAATAGACACTCTCATTGATATATTTAGCCATTGATTTTGGTTTATTATTTAGTTATCTGTAATATTTGACACAAATATATCGCAATATACCTCTATTAAAGCCTTAACAATAATGAAACTTTTGCGCATATTACTAGCCTCGAACGATTTTACGCACCTAAAACAATAGATTACCAGATCTACTTCTACTTACTTACATTACTTACCTAATACTTACTTCTTAGATTTCAGTTTTTAGTTGGTTAAAGTTTTAGAATATTTTTTGTAAAGCTTTAAAAAAAATTGTTTGGTAAAACTGATGTTTTACCAGGGCTTCCAGAATGGGTCACAACACCTCTAAGAGGCCCAATCTGTGTAATAACATTGTAGACTATAGAGATTTTCTTAAATTTTGTGAAAGTTGACCTGGACAAATCATTAGAATAGATTTGATCAGGGAAATCTTTGCTGACCATGTTAAATATTGCAACAGCAAAAATTTGACATAATGGTAGAGGGTTTTATTATATATATATAATTCTAGTAAGCCTTTTTAAAAAATAAAACTGTAGATTGTATTATTATAAAATTATTATATTAAATATACATAACATCCAAATATTCAATATATATGGGGTTCTTTTTTACTATGATACTTATGAACTTTTATGTCTCTCTTTATATATAATCTATCTTAATTTTTTTTTAACTTTGTTGAAGAAATATGCCAGGATCCACTGAATCAGCTACCAGTTGTTTATTTTTCTTGTTACGGAAAACTTTTCTTGATTTTCACAACCAGTCTTATCTCAATCCTTGCGACTTGGAGAATGTCAGCAGTGTCTGATCCATTAACGCAGGTAAGATTGAGAATTGTTGCGTTATTTGTCAACATGGGTAAGTTTTAGTCTTCTTGTATAGCCCTACAGTTACAAACCACTTTTACATCATGATGGGTATGTGATGTACTGTACTTGATTGCTAACAACTGGAAAGTTGTGTTATAGCTTAGGTTAGTAGGATGTACCTAGATTCACTTAATCGCCATGGTCACCCAACTTGAGTTGAATAAAAGTACTTGTCACATTCTTATTTTACTGCAGAAACAAATAAATTTTACTTTATATGCAATGTTAGAGACCAGGTTTTATTAAGGTATTTACTACAGCGCTGCCATGCTCATCTATATATAATTCTCTTCTGGGAGACGCTAGAAAACAAGCTGTAAACGCGCTCCCTACCATCCCCACCCCTACATGGTCTTAGTGAGCTGTGGTTCACGCTATGTTTACCTTCGTGGAGTCGGGTTTAGTGACGGCTATTAGGGTCAGATAATTTAGTTTGAAACTATTTTAAACGTTGGGGAAGGGGGGGGGGTTATGGTCCTTAACGAGCTACTTATAGTGTTTTAAAGAAATATTTTCAGTGTCAGCGTTGCTACTGTCGAATTCACAAATTATGAATTACTGAAAAGTAGAAAAAACAACAACTAAATAGCTGCGTATGTTATGTCGCGGGCCGGCTCGTAAAAATTAACATGTCAATTTAGCATGTTTTGATTGAAGATGTTATGTCTCTAACAGAGCCCAGAAAATGTGTCTGTCTCCCCTGCTATCCCCTCCCGTTTAAGTGGTGACGGCAGGCAACTCCCCAGCATTCCAAACTCAGTGCCATTCACAGCAGGCTCACAAAGTGCCAACAGGAACAGCAATCACGTGTTGAACAACAGGGGGAGCAATGGTTATGGGCCTTTTTTACAGGAGTATTCACTCATGGCTGAATAGTAAGAGTTGTGTGTTTGTAGTGAAAGAATCTTCTACAACCTATATATTACAAGTTATTTCATATTGACACATTAATTTTTTTTCTATAATAGCTGCTCAGTCTTATTTATTCATGTCATTTTAACTATTAATTTATATTTGAAATTCTAATATTTTTTCAAGTGGAACTGATCAGTTTTTTCAATGGATAAAATAGCACTTTAATTGTATTATGTTTTTCTGCAGCAATCTGTTACAACAGAAAAAGATTCAAGGTGTCTATGTAATGCCATGTGCAAAAACTCCCTTAAGTAAGTTCAAGATGTTGGTGATGCTAAATTATCAGTTGTGTTATTTAGGAAACATTTTAATGTATTTTTTTAAAAGTCAAACCCAGATAATTTTCTCAACATGTAGAAAATGCATTATTGATTATCAAGCTCACTGAATAAATTGTTATCATTATTAAGCATACTAAATTTGTTCAACTTTTTTTTTTCAGTTTGGAGTGGCTTAATATTCATACGACAAGGTTTATATCTTGGAGGCGCGTTTAGGTTTTCTCTCACCATTCCAGATAATTACCCTGATGGAGACTGTCCTGTAAGAATTTCTTGGTCATATCATAGTCAAGTTACTTTTGAAATTTTTTTCAATACATGTTTACAATTTGAATTTTAGATGGTTAAAATGTGGGATTTTATTGTATTCATTGTTTATTTTTCCCTTTGCAGACATTTGTCTTTGAGTTCCCTATATTCCATCCATTGGTTGATCCAGCCACAGGAGAGCTGGATATTAAAAGAGCTTTCCCAAGATGGAGGTAATTTCATCATTTTTTGTTATTTACAACAACGAACGATGCTTCATTTTAATCCACTTTTCCTTATTCAAGTCCAAGTCATGAACGGGTTTGTAGGGCACCTGTCAAAAGTAAAAGATGTTGAGCATTTTGCCAACTAAATCTTTTTTAAATACTAGTCACATAAGTCAGGACAGGATTTTGATTATCGATTTATAACTAAACTTAGAGTTGGCTGTAAATCTTTCAATTCTCGTCTAATGTTTTTTCAACATAAGTTGTCTGCCTTTCTACCTTGGAACTAAATAGATTAAAAAGTAAATAAACCGGGAGTGATCTCCCCTAAACTTTCTCGAATATTCTTATATAAAATAACAGGGGATGGAAACTCGGGCTATAGACATGATTTTTAATCCATTTTAAATACTTAAAGTTTTAAAAATAGAATAAAATCTCGTAGACAAATTAATTGCACACCAAGTGAACGCAAATAAAAAAAGCGCATAATAGTGCGCAATATTATTAGTACTTTTAAAATTTACATTAGTTTTTTGAGAAATCGGAAGTAGCGTAAATTACTACTTCCAGTCAACGGAAATTACTCAAAATTTAACAGAAGGTAGAGAATTAGATCTTTTACTTACATGTGAAATTTCATTTATCTATCTGAAATAGTACTCAAGTTATAGGCTTTTAAAAAATTCAAAGTAGGAAAAGTACCACTTCCGGTTATCGGAAATCGCTCAAAAGTTGATACGGATCTACGATTTTGATAAAATACTTATATATGAAATTTCATCAACCTAGCTGTAACGGTACTCAAGTTATCGTGTTTACACACGGACAGACACACACACAGACACACACACACACAGACATACGGACAAGATTGCAAAATTATGTTTTTCCGTATCAGTGAGGTGTAAAACGTCGAGATTTGTAAAAATCTCGATTTTTTTTTTTTTGCACGATTACAATACTTTCTCTATACTACGTATATACGAGAAAGTAAAAAGGTGCAGTTACCACAATTAGTTTGTTTATAGTGTTCAGTGATATAATTACCTAGATGATTGTCTTGTTAAACTAACACCACCTGTCCCTTCTGTCCGTAGAAGAAATATAAATCACCTCTGGGAAATTGTGCAGTATGCCAAGAAAGTTTTCTACAAAATAGAGACCAAATCAGCATCAAATCTTGATGCAGCTGTTTTGTAAGTAATTATTAAAATTGAATGGGACTGGGTTGTTATTCAGCAATGATGTATTTTTTACCATTGTAAACTTGTGGTTATATCACATATTAAATTCAGAAAAAATAAAATTACTATTATCCTTGTGGAGGAAACTTAAGTTTTAAAAAAATAGAAATTTAAATTATACAATCATCCAGTTGAAATGGACAAATAATGTAAGAGCTTTAAATAATCTTATTTTAATTAAAGTAGATTAAATGAAATAATGTAAAAAAAAAAATTTCCCCACAGATATGAACAAGATAGAGATGTGTTCAACAGTCGAGTGGCCGAATCCTTAAAGCTGTCTAAAGACAGGCTGTATCAGCCTCCTAACCTAGATGACCCCTATGCACTCAGGTAGTATTACTGGCTGTTTCTTTTATTAGCAATGTGCAGGTTTAGCAAGTTTACAATAATATTTAGGGATGTGGTTGTGTTTAATGAGTCCATCCAGATCTGGTGGGTGCCTAACTCATGTTAGGGGAAGTAAAGGTGGCTGGGAAAAGTGCTGACCACACCTACCCTTCATATCCCGAGATCAAGAAACATACCAGCTCTGTTTCATCTGCCCAAGGGATCTAACAAGGAGACTTTACATTCAGCACAGAATGCCTTCAACATTTTGTTTTATTTTCCGCAGGTTCAGTCCGTGGAATGAAGCCATCCACCCAGATACCAAGAGACAGATGATTCAGTCATCACAGGTGAGAAAAAATACATTTTCAATTTTTTTTTTATCTGTTATTTTTTTTTAGTTTAGTTCAAAACACTTGAAGAAATTTTTTTTATCTCATTTTTATTTTATTTTGGGACAAGTGTTTTTTTGGCTTATTATTTAGTCCTGTGTACAAAGTTAGAACAGAAATCCCTTGTTGTTTTTAGTTATGTTTTTTGTCAGTTATTATCAGCACGGTGTAATCTGATATTTCTCATTGTGAATGTGTTGTGGGGTTTTTTTTAGATTATTTTGATTGGTGAAGTAGTTTTAATCAGCTAGTGCATACTTTGCTGCATGATGTGTGTCTATGTTCTGATTTATATTTTGTAATATGTTAGATTAATTACAAGCATGGAAATGTGAAGTGGAATATTTATTTAACCTTGGCAGAAGAGGGGTAGTGTTTTTTTCCTGTTTATTTTACTAAACCATATGCATTAGAAAGAATGCTATATTTATCTATAACTGAGTGTAATAAGTAGAAATTTCAATATGCCAAAACTCATTTCCAGTTATTGTATTTCTTAATTTGGTATGAGTTGTAATTCAGGTTTCAGTTTTTATTTTTTAATTGTTATTCTTTTTTTCTTTGCACAAATTAAAAAAATACCTCTAGAGCTTTATTTCTGATCTTTATTTTTATTACTTAGCCTTTCCCAATAGTAATATTTAGGCAACAAAAAAATTAACAAGGGGAAGCAATCCGGTAAACGTAATTTACATGTTTAAAGTCTATTGCCTCCCTTAGACCAATAAAATTGATATTGGTTAGAAACATTATTTTAAAGGTTTTTTCCATAATCTTTGCATTTTCATTTTAACCATAGAAACATATACATGGTCTAAAGGTAAGTAATGGTATAGATTTTTTTCAGACTTAAAAGTCCTTCTATTGGACTTAATACCCACCTATCCCCAGTGTTGCTGTATGTAGTTTCAAAGCATGGCATGTGCTGTTAATATTTGCTTGTTTTTAATCACTGCTTTGCTTTCATTCAGTTTGCTAGTGTATAATAAATAGCTTATCGCATGTCTGCTTTTAACATTTTATACTCTACTCAATGTTGTTTTAGTTCTATTTGAACATGACTACTTAAATTATGAAAATGTGTCAGTGTTGCCCCTTAAGTTTACCATAAAATTATTATGGCTATGGTTCACAGCCAATTAGCTAGCATGTCTTAATTGCATATAAATTTAGAATTCTAATCAATTCAGAAATTATAAACCACTGACCCCACTTGTTAGTTATAGAATGAGTAAATCGGAGGCACCATTAGTAATATGATGCTGTCAGTATGGTATTGTAAATCTAGAACAGTTGAATGGATCAAATAACACAACAATATATCATTATGAGAGGTAGTAAAAAAAACATAGTTACCCTTTTTAACCTTACAGCCCATTGGGCAGGTGAAGTTGAGTTCACCTGTTTCAGCGACCATGAAGTGAAATTGTGGTCAGCACTATGTCATCAGTTTTATGCTTTACCACCTAACCACGCCATGCCTAAATTATGTAAAGTGCTTGTGAAATAAAGTGTTTCAACAAAAACAGAATTGTCTCTACCTAGTCTATTCTGTCCCCATGTAAAGTTTTCTTTCAGCTCTGTTGGCATACATAGAGGTTGAACCCTTTTGGTTTATGTGTTCAGTGCAACAGCTTTTATTTCCCCCAAATCAGGCTAGGTACTCACACTGAAGCTGGGTGGACTCTGACTTAAGACAGAGAAACTAAAGCCTTTGATAGATTGCAGTGTTAGGATGTTATTCTAAAATTAAGCAACAACACATCAGTGATGGGTGGATAACACCAGCTTTACAGTCACAGCAGTACTTGATTTATGCCCTGGTGTAAGGCAGCTGAGCTAGTCTGCCCTGTTACAGATTGGAACTATTTATAATCACAGCCGGACTTGATGACAATGATATAAACTTAAAATATTTATCATGAAAATGACAATGAGTTGTAATTTACTAACAAGAGATGTATAGAGATATACTAACATCACTAGAATATTTAGAACTCATTGAGGGCTGATGTTTTACACTCTAGTCAATGCTCATATTTTACACTGCAATGACATAAGATCTTTACATTTTCAAGGCCATTTTAAAATAAGGCTGTTTAATTAACTTGAAAAGTTCATTGAAAAATCAACTACTGCAATATTTTTGCATCTTATCCCAATAATGGCTTTTGTTTAAAATGCTTAAATTTGTGACAAACTTTTCAAGAGCCAAGTTAATTTCTTTTATTATAACATAATTATATATTTTAGTCCTTTACACTACTTTCTAAATCTGCCAGCATTAAATTAATTCATACTCTTCTAATAACTGTTGAAAGTGGGTCCTCATATTGATATTGAATACATATATTTTTTGCTGTAGGTTTCAAAAAATAAAAATTAAATTACAATTAGATGGTCATTTTGGGACTAAATTAGTTTTTAAAAAAAAATTTCAGTTAGTGGAATCACTTAAATTCAACTTAAATCGTTATCTACTTCTACTTGTTTACAAACTTTGATTTTTGCACATAGTATTTCTGATAGTTAAAAATACTATAAACTGAGTACTGTCCCTTGTATCAGTAAAGATGAATTGAAGGCTGTGTATGAACAGAATTGGAATTGATCCAACAAAATTTTAAATCTTTTAATAGACATTCATCCATTCTTTGTTATTATTTCCAGAAGCAGTCCAACGATGCCGGATCAGCCAATCCATCGGATCTTGGATTAACATGGATAGAGTCTGGACAAACCAAAGTTTTTACCCGTGACGAGTCAGGCAATGCATAGCGTTGTTGTAGGTGTGGTTAATTATTTCTTGCCGTCAGTTGTGAACTATTTTACCTACTAGATACATCATTCTCAGTGTAAAAATATCCTCCTTTAAACAGCAGGTTAATTTATCTACTACCTACAGGGATTGTCAGTTGTTAGTTTATATCTGGGGCATTTTTTTACCTACTAGCTACATCATTGTCAGTGGAAAAAAATCCTCTTTTAAACTGGGGGTGAATTTGTTTATGTACTACCTACAGGGATTGTCATCAGTTGTTAGTTAATATCTGTGGCCTACAACTGTTTGAGAGGCTTTTGTCCATCAATTGCTACCCATTCTGTTTTAATTAGTATTTGAGAAGTTTAAAATATCATTAAGACAAAAGAGTTATTTCTTAAGCAAATTACTCAGGTAATAATTCTGATGTATTCATCTCTTATATGGTCATTAGAGCTCTGTTAAAACTCTGTAACATAGTTGATCTGGGTGTGTTTAGATGAGGGCTGGTCATTTGAGTGCTGTTACAACTTTAGTAATGTAACATTAGGTGATCTGGGTGCATATAGACAGGGCTATTTGAGTGCTGTTACAACTCTGATAATGTAACATAGTTGATCTGGGTGTGTTTAGATGAGGGCCAGTCATTTGAGTGCTGTTACAACTCTGGTACTTTAACATTAGGTTATCTGGGTGCATTTAGACAGGGCTAGTCATGCAGGCTGTGATCAAACATAATTAGCAGTCAGCCAGGTGTCACCTGAGTTCAAAGGAGAACCAATGTTTTATAAACAAATGGCCATGTGGCTCCACGCATGTTTGCTAGTAAATACATTAGTCACATTTTTTTAAGTTAGAAAATTAATGATGCTGTCATCAGAACTAATTAGGTCGCTGAACTTAACATGATTCCACCTTAATTAATGGTTGTTCACGTACGTAACCCCGGTCCCTGTGTCATGTGAGTCGTCCACATTCAGATCCTGATTTTGTTTTGTCCATCTTATGTCTGTATGTAGGTATACAAATTGGTGGGTCTGTATGTAGGTATACAAATTGGTGGGTCTGTATGTAGGTATACAAATTGGTGGGTCTGTATGTAGGTATACAAATTGGTGGGTCTGTATGTAGGTATACAAATAGGTGGGTCTGTATGTAGGTATACAAATTGGTGGGTCTGTATGTAGGTATACAAATAGGTGGGTCTGTATGTAGGTATACAAATTGGTGGGTCTGTATGTAGGTATACAAATTGGTGGGTCTGTATGTAGGTATACAAATAGGTGGGTCTGTATGTAGGTATACAAATAGGTGGGTCTGTATGTAGGTATACAAATTGGTGGGTCTGTATGTAGGTATACAAATTGGTGGGTCTGTAGGTATACAAATTGGTGGGTCTGTATGTAGGTATACAAATTGGTGGGTCTGTATGTAGGTATACAAATTGGTGGGTCTGTATGTAGGTATACAAATTGGTGGGTCTGTATGTAGGTATACAAATAGGTGGGTCTGTATGTAGGTATACAAATAGGTGGGTCTGTATGTAGGTATACAAATTGGTGGGTCTGTATGTAGGTATACAAATTGGTGGGTCTGTAGGTATACAAATTGGTGGGTCTGTATGTAGGTATACAAATAGGTGGGTCTGTATGTAGGTATACAAATTGGTGGGTCTGTATGTAGGTATACAAATTGGTGGGTCTGTATGTAGGTATACAAATTGGTAGGTCTGTATGTAGGTATACAAATTGGTGGGTCTGTATGTAGGTATACAAATTGGTGGGTCTGTATGTAGGTATACAAATTGGTGGGTCTGTATGTAGGTATACAAATTGGTGGGTCTGTATGTAGGTATACAAATTGGTGGGTCTGTATGTAGGTATACAAATTGGTGGGTCTGTATGTAGGTATACAAATTGGTGGGTCTGTATGTAGGTATACAAATTGGTGGGTCTGTATGTAGGTATACAAATTGGTGGGTCTGTATGTAGGTATACAAATTGGTGGGTCTGTATGTAGGTATACAAATTGGTGGGTTCATGACCAGGGCTAAAAGGCTATCTGGTTAGCCATGTTGTGACTTTAATTAAATTCATAATAAATTACCAACTGTCTTATGAAATATAGATTAATTTTAGTCCTGTAGTTTTAACTCTTACTTGATTATCAACTTTTTAATAATAGTGATCTCCCTTGCAAAGCACCTTTTGGTTTCTATGCCAGTAGCTAGAGTGATGTATTTATTATATTAAGGAGCTACAGTGTACAATTGAAAGCTATTTTGGTGTACAGATATATATCAAGTTTGACACAACATGCAAATTGATTCAGTACCCACACAAAAATACACTGGTTCCAGATTTTAATGCTATAGTTATATTTTCTTGTGTTATTAACAAAAGAAAACAAAGTATGTTATGGATTTTTCTTCTGTTTACAATATACTTTAATGGTGTATACATACTTTAGTAATTTGGCATGGTGAATAGAGTTTGATATAAATAATTTTTTTGTCATTTTAGTCATATATAAGGCCTGGTGTGTGTTTTTGCTTAGTGCACAATCACCCTGATGCTAGCACTGCTATAAGCCAATGACCATTTCTGTATGTTTTCTTGTTCAGCACAGGTAGCAAACCTCCTAAGTGGCTTCTTTGTATTTTCTACTATCTTTGGCAAGTAACACTGACCAATTACCTGGCCTGTAGTTATATATTCTGACCTCTGACAGCACATGTGATTGACATTAAATATTTTACTAAGACAAGTGACACACAGTTACATGTCACAATGCATAATTTGATGTTGTGGGGTATAAATGGTGGGTCTATCAGCTTTGAGATCAATTGAAATTCTGAATGAATCTGCTGTACTTTCAGTTTTGTACCTATAAACTTTGGCGACCTAAGGTGGTCAGTTATTTTTCATAATCTATTTACATTTATCTATGGGCAGACTCACTTACCTTCGCCCCTCAGAATTAAATAACATATACATATTTATCTGTATGCAGGTACAGATATTTAAGTATATACAAGGTCATTGTGCCACTTGGGCAAATCACCTTCCCAGTGTTATATATAATACATTTGTGACCCTCGCCTTTAAGATGGAATGAAATGCTTTGCATCTTGAAATGTTTTGTTCTATAGCAGAAAATTATTATAAATAAATTAAATCCCAACGTATATATGCATACATTTGCGATGCAAGTTTTTAAAACAAATCTAACTTATAAGTCTCCTAATTTTCCTTTAAAAGTTATTATTTAATCTGCTTAGTGTAAAGAGGCCAGATTATAATATCAGAACTTTTCAGTTGCACGTATTCTAAGCTATTATTCTTAAAATCAGCGTTAAAGTTGTTTGAGACCAGCAGAAGAAAAATCAAATAAACAATTTTTGAGGGTCACTATGTATAGTAGATCAGTGGAGACCGCTATGTACAGTATATCCGTGGAGACCGCTATGTACAGTATGTATGTGAATGCCACTGTGTATGGTGTATGTGTGGTGATGGGACATGGTACCATGTTATTTTGTTCATTGACCCCTCAAAAGTGCCTTGATTCTTATATGCATATGTAACCTCAGCTAGACTTGACAGATTCCAACAACACTTATGCAACTATTTGTCCCCGCTATCATTGATTCAAAAATGAATTAAACTTTCTTTATGCATTGAATTATGAACTATTTATAGTTTGTATCTATTAAATGACATCATTTGATGTTTAGTTCAATTATTTTTTTTCCAGTTGTTCATGCTTGTTTAAAATTATTTCACTGGTTTAAATTTTGTTTTATAATTTTATAATGATGTTGTGTTTTTGCTGTACTTGTGAATTCATTTCTTGGTTTGCTTTTTAAGCTGTGTTGTGGGTTGTCCACACAACTTTCATTTTAGCAGTCGATATAACTTTCCTTGAAACTGGCAGTCAAAGCCTAACCTTACAACTGTACAACTGTATGTTCTAACAGTTTTTGGCTGTATGAAGATATAAATATCCCTTTTTAAAAATTTTGACTAATTTTTAAAATTATGGTGTATACTTTCTAAATCTATTTCCATTACATTTTTATAGCAGTTCAACTCCATTAGCGGATATGGCTCAAAAGTGAAATTACTAATCTAAATTGTATGATGCAAGTAGGAGGGGATTGAGAATAAATAGAAACTGAGCCTTTCTGTACATATTTTTCTATAAATTTTTCTGCTCATCAAAGATTAAACATAAATAAAACTATTTGATACATTTAAACTTTTTAAAATTATCTATGTATATGTTTATACAGAAGCTATATTGTATACATTCAGCTTTGTTGAAGGGAAACTACTCTAGTCTTGCAAGCAGCTTACTGAGTTTTTGCACTGTGTAAACTTTAAAAAACTTTTCTATTGACTTGGTAAAAGATAGACAATTGATAATTTTAAATATGTTTAAACAGAAAATAAATATATTCAATTGTTATGTTTTAAGCACTGTTCCCAAAAAGTTTATTTGAATAAAACGAGGATATTTTGTCCTCTGTAATAATGCACTTAATTAGCCAATAGTTCTGCTCCCTGAAATTAAAACTTGTGACATGATTTTACATTTAGCACATGTTTGTTTCTAGCATGTGGTTTGGATACCCAGTTTATTCAAATTTTGATTTTTAAAATTTTCCTGAATGATCTGCTATTTTATTTTTTTTTGTAGTGAAATTTTCTTGGTTGTGTACCTGTAAAATAAAAATGTGATAATCTTTAGAACAGCGCCTATCAATTGTTTCATGTAAGACTATGTACATGTACATTTTTTTTTTCTCCCACATGGCACAATTATTTATTCTTGTAAGTTCAATTAAATTTGACTAAAATAGATTTTAAATTTAAAATGATGATTATTAACTTGGTCAATAAATGTTCTTTTAGATTAAGTTTACCATACCTTTTATAGAAGATAAAGTCATTATATCTGTCTTGTTTATATTGTAATTTGACTTAGATAGTTTGGTTAATATTAGAGACACTGGTTTAATAAGCCTTGTGTAATCCCTCTCTCCATTTGAAGACATTTTTCTCAGTTAATGCTTGTCCCAATACACTGTGATTCTAGTTTGAATAAGATATTTTTGTACATTTTAACTTTGATCTAATAAAGGCATTGAAAATTCTTCTTGCTGTTTCTTTTCTTACTCAAGCTCTAATACAAAAACGTTTCAGAATGAGCAGTGATACTATAAAAATAAACCAAACACAAGTGGGAAATCATAAAACATTTATTTATATTATAAAGGTAGAACATATTATGATTAGGGGATTCAGCTTTCCTTGATGAAATTATTCTTGCTGTGATAAATACAAGAAGTTTTCATGTACACAAAAGATATAGAAATGCAACTGTCTCGTCAGACAGCTTATATACTCTTCAATTATATACATAGTTGTACATAGAGATTACATGAATTCATGACAGGACAAAAAAAAACAATGTATATATTAATTTAACAAGGAATCATTTTTATCCATCATAAACTTATACACACTTACAACCAGTATAGGTACAAGGAGTCAACATATATCAGAATAATCATACATGCAAGTAGTACATATGGTACAACCCATTTAATGTCATCATTCATACATGTAGTAATATACGTACACATGTCAACGCATAATTAAATATTAATACAAGCAGTTTTGTTACCAATAGCCAACACATAAACATATCACCCGCATTTTTTTTTCTTCTGAATTATTCTATTTATCATGGCACCTATAAAGAACAAATTTTAAATTAAACTGCTGTTAGCAAAAGTAACAAACATTTGGGCATAATACTTGAAAATGGTGTATCTAAACATCTAAGAGGTTATAGTGTTCTCATTCCTGCTTAAAATTTTCGCCTGTCTATCTTTGTGTTCTTTGTCCAGATGCTATAATCAAGGGAAACAACTAATGAGATATCGTTCAGATTTATCTTTTCTTGATCAGATAAAAAATTTTAAAAGGCGTGGTCGAATGTGGAGCAGCTCACCAGGATGTGAAGTTTGTGCATGTAGGTCAACAGCACAACCTCTGGCGACGCGCATCTGATGTGATTGGGTTTCGTTAGCTTTGGCGGATTTCAGTTTTTAAAAAAATTTAGCGCTAAACGAGGTTGATGATCACTCCAAAGTGACACTCTGAGAGTGAGATAAAAAGCTTTCACTAGCTCTGATACAAGAGGATCTAAGATATGACAAGGGTACAGAGATCTTATCTAACCTAAGGCGTCGGCTTGAGAGGTTGCAAGTAGCGGATTGTGAGTTTCTGCTCCACCCACCCTTCACTGCTAGACGATCATTTCCTGGATTACTTTGGCGCTCGGCTCTCAAGCGTGATGTACACTAACATACTCAAGACCAGTGCTTCTTAATCTGGGTTTGATCGAACCCCTGGAGTTTGGGGGGGGGGGGGGGGGTCAGTCTCGTGGGTTCGGTGGAGGTCAAGACAAATTACCGAATCATGAGATACGCGATCTGATTTTGTTACTGCGAAGGATAGGTCTATTAAGAAGAGTTGGTGAATGCGCATATGAAATTGGTGGGGTTAGGTACCCCCAAAAAGTTTGAGAACCACTGGTCTAGACAATCAAAACCTTTTAATGTCTAGTCATGGTAAAGGACAGCGTTTGTCGTCTAAAGATTTTAAAGCGGCAAAAATAGTTTGTATACTTGAATCCACCAGTGTAATTCAAGTGGGAAAAAAAAGGAAAATTATAATTTTCTAAACAAGCATGTTAAGTAACGGGTTAGTTTGAGTTGCGGAGAGGGGGTGGGGCAGGCGGCGAGCGTGCATTTTTTAAGCATTTTTATCACTCACTGTCCCAAAGTGTGGCTTATGTACACAACGACGCGTGGAACGGATTAGAGATTTTTACATTCATTATCGCACTAGATTATAATTATTTGTTAATGGAATGTAGCCTGGGACGAGGAGCCCTAATATCCCCACCCCTCCCGCCTCACACCCAAATCCTGATCGTTAAGTATATTCTATCTGTAAAATATACCGCTCCGATTAATAATGTTCTCACAGAAATGAAATATTTGAAAGTAAATAAAACTGGTTGCTAACGATACTGTTTAGGAAAATGAATAATGGTTAACTACTGTTAGTATATGGACATGAACGACCAATTGTAATTTTAAGTATCAACTACTTCGTAAAAGCTGAAAAAATACTTGAGAAAACTGTTCAACCCTAGTTGATACATGGCGCCACCCTTTTTAAGGAGGGGCGAAAATGTTTCAGATGGCGACTTGTTGTTTGTGTGTGACTAGTGTACATCATTTTATATTTCTGGTTTACAAAAATAAATTTAAAAATCAGCTTATTCGTTCAACTATAGTAGATTGTATCAAACGTATATCAGTACCGCTACGCTAGACTTTACCATAAGACAAGAATATCCTAAGCCCTAGGCCTAGCCCTGACCCCCAACAGTGATACCGGTGGGGGAAAAGATGCTACGTGTGTATATAAAACAATAATCAGAGCAATAACAAGTCAATAACAACCAAATGCCCGGGACATGATTCAAGACGACATGGACGGTGACTTAAGTGTCAGTGATGACAGTACAAAGACAGTTAAAAACATAAAAGGTTGGGGGGGGGGGGGGTAATTCAATAACTTATACAGCATGTTAAATACAAGCCTATGAAGGCCAATACAATTTTCTTTTTATTTGTACATGGACTAGAATAGGTTTGTTTATTTACATTATTCACACGTGTTTACAAGACACGATATGGCACACGCCATCAGTAGAAACATTGAGGAGAATGGCTGATATGGAATGCATGGTTGTCAAAAAGTATTTTTAAAAAATTACATCAAAACAATCTGGGGGATCAAATGGAGGGGTGGGGTGTAACATCTACTGTAGCAGACAGCGGGAATGATAAGAACACCAGTTGTGTGGCTGGTTTTAAAAAAACAAGATGACCTAGGTAAAGGTGTATCAGTCTATTAGGATGGCTTCAAGGCTACTTTAATGTAGTCTTGTGAGTTATGACAGAATGGATGATCTGGTTTGTCAGCCATTCACCACCAAGTCAGTAAGCCCGCCATTTAAATACGAGGAAGTCACTTGCTTGAATGACTAACCTAAGCCACGGGGCACAGCTCAGACCTAACACACGGGTCTGTGTATGTGATTCACACCTTGCACACCCAGTTTCAGCCATTGCTATTTCCATGGCGACCAGATGGTGTCGGATTTCCGGATTTTGTCACGTGGTGGGGCTTCCACTTCGGCTTCTATCGGAACTGGATCCTCGGCATCTACCTCCACCACATCCACCACATCCACCACCTCCACTTCTACTTCCTCTTCTTCGTCGACTTCTGTCTTCGGCGGCTCTCTGCAAATATAAAAAAAAAAGTAACTGTTAGAAACTTGGAAAGTACAGTGACTGTATATTTCTATTGTGTATGTTATTCTAGTATTATAAAAATGTACATTTTTAATCACGTTGTATGAATGCACGTTTCTTTTCAGCAGCTTTTCTAGTCGACGTATAAATCTGAAAAGTTAATTACTTAATTGAGATTTTTTTTTCTTTCCAGCTATATACTACAGGTTATAACGTCACGCTTCGGGTATTTTAACTGTGTCAGTTGAAGCTTCAACCTCGGCAGTTCCTTACACACATTTAAAAAATTTATTATTCGTGTGGCCTTGAGAAGTTAACATATAGAAGGAATGGAAGAACCGACAAATTAGACCGAACAAATCATAGGAGAGGCAACTAGGATAGGCTCTAGGCCGAGCACTCGGTAACCGCAGAATTAACCGCATCTGAAATCATCCATACAGCCGCTGTAAAACCCATGCTTTCGAGTGGAGCTACGTTTTTGTACTATTTTAAGAGCTATGTTGAATACATAGTTATCGCTTCAATCATAGACATCAGAAATGTACTTTTAAGTTTGAAAAGTTTGGGACAAATGCTTTCTCAACTGTAGCTAAGGGTCTCAAAACAAACTAATTTAATTATATAAACATAAATACAATGATATATATTAAGTATACCAGAAATAAACAAACTTTTGATTTTGGTAATGTGTTATGCATCTCTACTAAATAATAACATTGAAAAATTTAAAATAGATGAAAGAATATATTTAAATGCCTCTAATAAGTTACGGTCAATTTTTTAACTGATTGACGAATTTTTATAAATATTCAAAGGAGGCTCTCTTTGACTAAAAAAATATTTAAAATACCATCTTTCAGTCAAGTAGTATGTATGTCGATTCACTCTATCGTATTTGTTTATCTTACTCATAAGTTTGCAGAGAAAACCTTAAGACAGAAACAATCTCCAACATGAGGGCACCATAATAAAAAAAAAAAAGGGTGGGTTCTGATGGGGTAAAACATCTGGGGCTTGTGATCCGGTATGGGAAAAGTCAAGCTGGAACATATGAGAGCCAACGATAAGAGATAACCACCACGACGTAAACAGACACTTGGAGTTGATGATCTCCCCTCTGGACATTTCTCATCTGTCACAGAGCAAGAAAACAGCGGACCCTCATCACTTTCAACAAAAATCATTAGCACTTGGTCAACGACAGGAAGGAAAAAATGGGAGACTTCAATTGCCGTGCCCGTATCTATAAATCTAAATAAATGTCCGCTCGTCCACGGGACTGAGAAATCAGTGCACATTTAAATATGAACACATTCATTGCTGCCAGGGCAGTTTTATTAAACAAGGGTGAATTTCAATTTTAACATTGAAACTGCATTCGTTTAGTTAGCATGAAGTTAGATTACAATTTTTAAAATTAAGGAATGAATTTAAATTTACATATTTTTTTGTTTGTTTTAGGTATCAAGCGGCGATTGCAATTGGATAGCAGGCCTACTACCCTAAATGGTAATGCGGTATTTAATAACGGAAAAGTAAAGTAAAATGATTTTATATGTAAGCGCAACCGGCACGTTAAACTAAAAAACGGATGACGATGAAAGAAAATTTTGTGATATGGCTTTGTAAAGTGGCAGACAGGAGAAGCAGTGGATGAATGCAATGAATGAATGAAAATTTGAAATGATCCAACAGTTAAACCACTCTTCCGCGGGCAAGAATAGCCCACTTATTTATCTCTTTAAAACCGCTGACGTTGGAGAGATCTTGTAGACAAAGAAGACAGCTCTATGAGTTTAAATGTGGGTGCAGCCAGAGAGAATCTTTAGATGCTAACCACAAAAATGGTACGTAGCATTTGGAGGGAAAACGTTGAATAGAGCGATATAGAGTTGAGGGGGGGGGGCGCACTTTTTCAATAAGGTGGGGCACAGGAATTTCCTAACAGAGTCATTTTAAAACACACACACTTGTGCACATACACAAACACACACACAAGGAAAAATACCCTCGGGTCATAATAAACTTTCGTTGCACCAAGCCCAAAAAAAATATTCTTTTTTTTTTACATCGAGTCCTTTCAAAAATATTTTGGGAAAAAAATAATTAGATACAGCGATTTAAAAACAAGATGCAAATAAATATATTTGGCAAATGGCAAACATAACACGTTTTTTAAACAACAATCCGCACCTAATAACCTTTTTAAAAACTGGCGCGCTGAAGTTAAAGAATGGCTGTTAAAGATCACTAAACCAAACGGGGTCTGCTACTTAAGAAAAACTTTTGTCTTGGTTAGTCAGGCCGTACATATTTAAATCAGCAAATCTAATCCATTAATCTATCTAATCACTATTTTCATTGATCAGTGGGAATGGCTGTGTGACTAATGCATGTTAAGAATTAACAGGGGATAACAACTATAGCTTTAAAGTTATAAGATAATGTCTAAACTCTGCTTAATCGTGTAAGTCATTTTAAAAAATATGCAAATTATAACTAAATGAGTAACCAAATCAGGGATAATGATCTTAACACGTCCTACAATGTCTAATTTTATTTTTAATTTTAAACTAGTAGATTTGTTCTTCACACTTTTTTTCTCTCTCCCAATTTTTCCCCCCTCTAAAGTAAACACAGCCCCCCAAATCCTGCTGTTGTTAGCGACACGCTTGGGTGAACATTAAGCTTCAACACGTGCGCTCTCGCTCTGCCCTCGGTGTGAATCGTGCTGGTAGTTGGTCTCGCCCTTTAAAGATATCACGCCGCTAACGTTGGGGGATTAAACTTTTCAGAGTCTACACTACAAGCATTGCTTCAATGGCCAGAAATATTACACTAACGCTGCAGAGACTAATACCAAGTTAACGACCCAATTCTTTTTTGTTTTCATCTGTCACCTAATGACAAGACGATTTTTTTTTAAAAAAAGGATGATAATTAGAATCTCCTCCCTGCGCGCGAACAATGAGAAAATGTAGTAGCGCGCGGCCACCTTTAAAATTCGGGTTACTGGCGATAACCTTGACAAGCAGGCGAAGTAAGGGTTAAGCCCGAGGTGGCGCTGGCGACTAGACAGCGGCGCGCTGGCGTTGGGACGGGGCTTAACTTTGATGCACGGCTGTCACTGGTTCAAGTCCTAAACGGCCATCAGCCTCTACTTGTACATTCTGGCCGTGGAGGGACGAGCGCGAGGTGAAGAGATCCCCTTGTCAGGGCCGGGCTATATTAGAACGTATTGCCGGGAGAGGGCCAGCCGACGGTCGCTAATCAAGCTCGAGTGCATAAGGTCATGATGCCAGCGCCGGCCCTGCTCTGGGAGTCACTTCCGTCACTGCCGAGGTCGTTTGTCATTAGTTCGTGCTGCGATTGCATCAGTAGCCCCGTCATCGGGGCATGCTTCCACGCTGACAAATTGAGTGCTGTTAACTGTTTCAATGTGCTACACGTCATCCATGTACTTCTTTTTTAAAAAATATTTTTAACTATGTATTTAATAAAAATACACAAAATAATTTTAAAAATTGTAAAGGGAAGTCATGCTAAAAGAGAAATAATAAAGAAGAGCGATAAAGGCGAGTAGTGGGGGCTAACGTGGAGAACATAAGCCACGTGCCCCAGTACTGAAGAGTGGCCGGAACAAAAAAACGTGCCATGTCCGATTGTGGCAATCAGGGGACACCGGAGAAAACGTCGGGCAGGCTTCGAGTGAGAAGGTCATTAGTGGAAGTCAACTTTCACGGTTCGTTGTCCATTCAAATCATAACAGGTCACACTTGAGCCAAATGTTCTAGTCACTGCCACTGTTTTGTGTCGGGCTTAGCGTCCCGCCCTAACCCATGTAATCCCGTACTAACCACACAAAACTTGTGCTACACAAGGGGAATCCGGCTACTATAGCTACTTTAATCCTTGGTCCACTCGACCAGATGATTCTACAGTAAACTAATGGTATCATAATTTAAACTAAACAATAGCTTCTCATGTAATAACATCTTTACAAAGACACCCCTTTAAAATGTAAAACATTAAAATGTATGCCTACTAGAACACCGTCTATTAACTTAAGAGATATTTTGTAGAGACTTTGATTTAAGTTTTTCTATGAAGTAAAAAAAAAAATATTAAGAGGACTTTGAGGGAATAACAGTACTCTAGCGGCGCCAATTGTCTAATATCGCTTTTGATATTTCCACAGAGAAAACAAAACGTATTTGGCCAACAGTGGAAGTAAACGTGCTATAAAACCAGTCAATCAACCAGTCCATCATCGTTATTATCGAAGTCTGATGATCTGTGACCAGAGATTTTATTTGAACATTTGTCAACTGAAGCGGAAAAAAAAGCCATTGATCTGTAACAGCTTTGTTACGTCTCGCCACCAATTTACTACGTTTGCCGACGGGACCTTTTTTTTTTTTTTTTTGAGTTGCTTCGCCCTTGACAATGAATTCAAACTCAGCAGTGCACAGGTGTAAAATTAGGTCTTACTCTGCAAACATACACCACAAAAGACCAATTTCACGATTGCACAATATAGCTTTTCACCGCAGCCCAGGATGTATGCACGGAAATGGCAGCGTACTCGAGCGGATTGCTAGAATAGAAAGCTCGTGACCATTCTCCGGCGATGAAAAGCTAGCGGGAAGAAACTGCCAGTAGACCGCCAATGTTTAGAGCCCCAAAACGTTTTCATTGCCACACAAGTGTGCTCAGGGTTTGATGGACGCTGGCTCAAATCTAAATGAATTCTTGCCTCGTTTAACTTTACCTTAAGTGGTTCAGAAAGAAAAAAAACTTTCCAAAGCATTTCAATTTATTTTCTTCAGTTCATTTAATTGTGTACACAATGTGGTTTACAGCAAGTCCGTGTCTAGAAGTACCGCGCAAATCAATGAAACCCGATCAGTCAAGTACTCGCCGGTATATTAACTGTATCGTGGAATAATTTTTCATAGAGTTCCCATCGATATGTTCATTGTTTC